GGTTCCCATGCTTCTGAGGCTTTGCTCTGGCAAAGCCTCAGAAGCGCGGGAACCCGCCCGGTGCCCCTAGTCTGCTGGAGACTGTCTCCAGCAGACCAGGGGCACCGGAGCAGCTTACGAACGGGGCTCTCTCGCCCCGGAGCTCGCAGGTAGCAATCCGCTACCTCGACCTCCGGGGCGAGAAAGCCCCGTTCGTAAGTGCGGATCCGACATAAGTCGAATCCGCGTAAGTCGGGGACTGCCTGTATTTACAACTGTATTGTAAACACCTGAAGTCCAGTACAGTAACCAGCAGAACAGGAATTTATCCTCAACATTTTCACACTAGATTTAGAATAAATTTCAATACTCAAACATATTGATCCTTAGACCAGAAGGGGCCATCATCTGACCTTGTGCATGGCATAGGCCACATAATTTCTCAAAAATAATTCCTAGATCATACCATCTAGACAAACACCCAATCTTGATCTAAAAACCACTAAGACGTTAGTAGTGTAGAACAATCATCAGTGCAACAAAAATACACCCCCAAAAAAGGAACTCAAGTGGCAAAATACACTTGTAAATCAGTACTGCAGCCAGCTATCAAACCTCGCCTTACCTTTGAGGCATTAATGACGATGTTTCTAGCAGATCCATGTTCATCTCCAGAGAAGGCTGGTTGATTATTGAAACCCTGCTTTACATTCACTGCAGTAAGTTCATCCTGCAAAGAGCATATTTGTGTTAAGTTCGCTAAATTTAATTTACCATATTTAAAACTTGATCATTTGCATCAACATATTTTCATGACAACAAGTCTTGGTGTGTCACATTGTAATTTTGCACATGGACTGTGTATTTTCTGCACATCTTCCCTTTTCAGACAATTTTAGAGAAAGAATGACAGTATGCAACTTGTGTTCCCATTTACATGAAATAATTCTTCCTCGTTCCAGATTTCCAGGCTTCTGCTCAAACCTGTCTGTATTTTTGTGGAAGCAGGAGGGTTCCTATAAAAAGAAGAAATAAGGAAGAACAGAAACTGCCTGGACAGCAAATCCTCCAAGTATCTGCACGTCAGGCCCACACACACTAGAACCAGTATCAGAGGGGTAGCCGTGTTAGTCTGAATCTGCAAAAGCGATGAGGAGTCCTGTGGCACCTTATAAACTAACTGAAGTGTAGGAGCATAAGCTTTCGTGGGCAAAGACCCACTTCGTCAGATGCAAGAAACGAAACATAAGACGAAGTGGGTCTTTGCCCACAAAAACTTATGCTCCTACACTTCAGTTAGTCTATAAGGTGCCACAGGACTCCTCGTCGCTTTTGTAGAACCAGTATGGTTCTACTATTTGGAAGAGGGGAGGACATGAAGCACAGAAGGAGCAGAGTGAGACTCCATAGCCCTCTGCACGTCTTAAAGCTGAGCTCCAGAGCAGGATAGGCTCTGGATTAGCCAACAGTATATGCCAGGGCATAACAAGCAGGTCCTGGAACTGGATAGAACCACTAGCCACAAACCCCCATGAAGGGGTACATGAAAGGGTAGGGGGGGTCTCCTGCCTTCATTTCTTCCATCTATGTCTCCAATTGCCTTTACTCATAAAACAGTCTGACCCTCTGGCCAAACTGAAAAGCATTCCCTTTGGTTACCCTTAAAGGTCCAAAGGAAACCCACACAAGACTGGAATTTCCTCTTCCACTTCAGTAGTATCACAATAGCCCCTTTGTCCATTGACTGCCATGGTGCCAGTACACCACTGCTATCTTGTGCCAACCCTCTAATCAGAGGCTTCAGCCCCTAACATCTTGGAGCAGCAAACTAGCTTCCCACTCCATGCATAATTCTCTCTGATCCACCTCCTCCTCCCATCCCTGACTCACCCACTCCATTGGTCCATCTCCCCTCTCCTTCCACCAGCTTTAGCACAGCCAGTTACTAGAAATTCTGTTTGTTTGTCCTCACGCTCTGGATAACCTCATCAGCACGCTGCTCTTTGCAAGTCTCTCTCCACAGTGACAAACAAGGTCCACCTTCTACATCTGCTTCCCCTTCCCAGCAGGCCTTGTTCTCAGCAGTTACACTCTCCTTCCAGGAACTGTAACTTACAGAATACCTACTAAGACCCAGCGTTAGAGGTGCCAGGCCTCAGGTTTGCCTGTTATCCACATGTTGTATTTAGGATTACAGCCAATAAACTGTACTAATCTGCCACCTTTTGTTGTTATTGGTTTGGTGGGCAGGGAGGAGGGTGT